ATATATATATATAAAAAGCCCCACAACAACCCAACAAAGTGTGTTAAGGGGAAGAGAGTGGCAAGAGCACACAGGTGCAGAAGCCATCACACCACTGCACAATTCTATGACTCTAAGGATGGAAAGTAAGAAAAAGCCTCAGTAGTCGAGTGTTCCTTATCTATTGATTCTACCAACCTTCAACTGAAAAACGTCAAGGAAAACTTGTATCTGTATCAAACAGGTAGTCTTTTTCCTCTTACTAATCCCTACATATAGTAAAACAGCCACTTACATAGCATTTATATTGCTTTATATTGTATTAGGTATTATAAGAAATCTAAAGATGACTGAAGATGCATGGAAGGTACATGTAGGCTGCATGTGGATACTGCTTTTTATACAAGGGATTGAAGTATCTGCAAACTTTGGTCTCCTTGGGTTCCTGAGATCTTTTTCTTTTCTTTTTTTCTTTGGTGTTGTGGACAGAGCGTAAGTTATTCTAGTACTAGAATCCAACCCCCAGGGATACCAAAGAACAGCTGTGTATGTAACAGTTAAGTAATCCCTGTGTTTGGGGAAACGATAAACTCTGGGTCACCCAGTCTAATTGCAAAAATATTGGGCTTTTTACTACAACTGTTTGCATTTATTTTATACCTGTAGCTTATACACTTCCGTGTTCTTGTTGATCTCCTTTCAAGTAAGTTTGCTTTGGACTTTTTTGAGTCTTTTTTCTTTTCTTCTTGATCTTCAGAAAAATCTGGCTCCTTTAAGAATACAAGTATATAGGCATTACAGAAAAACAATTTCCTGGAAATAATAGTTCTGCAATCCCCATCTAGGCAGCGCATGTGAAAGGTTTGAGAAAAATTTGAGATTATCCAGCCAAACTGAATACATATGGTAAAACTAAACACACAGATTAAAAATACTGTGAACAATGGAAAACACTACATTGAAATTCTTATGCTTCTGTGAGTTTACAATAGCCTGTTTTAAAACAATCAGGGTGAAGTTTGTCTACCGATTCAATTTTCTAAGTAATAAATATGACATGAAAACTTTTCACTGATATGTACACTGAGTGAGTGAAATGATTTGATTTAAACTAAAGGAGAACTTTGCAAGCTATGTTAAGTCTGTGACTTAATTATGAATTGAACAAAACTGCTTATATAAAAAGAAAACTTCAAGCTGGAAACCATGTTCTGTGTGCTTTCACACATGAGGTACCTTAATTAAAGACTAATAAATGTAAAACAATAGTAAGTCTTCACAGAAATCAAACAATAAGATACAAATTGAAGGTTCTACAGCCCCAAATTAAAAATAAATTATAACAAAACCATTCTTTTTTTTTTTAAATTTTTTTTATTTATTATTTTTATTTTATGTGTATGTGTGTATTGCCTGCATGTAGGTAAGTGCACCCATGTCGCACAGTACCCGTGGAGGTCAGGAGAGGCTGTCGGATCCCCTGGGATGGGAGTTACAGACAGTTGTTAGCTGCCATGTGGGTGCTGGGATTCAAACCTGGGTCTTCTGCAAGAACAACCAGTATTCTTAACCGATGAGCCATCTCTCCAGCCCTATTCTTTATTTTATGTAAGTAACACATTATAAAGGTAAATACAAATTATCCAATTTACAATAAAAACAATGAAACATTACTCCAAAGCAATGAGCTATAAATTAAGTTTGCATGTCATAATTACATTACTGGGTAAAATTTAGAAAATGCAATATATCCTTTAAGAATACTATAAACTAGAAACTTACTTGTGGGGGAATGATGTTTTCAATACTGATACCAACATATACCAAGCGTTCTTTCCTTAAAAACAACAAAAACAAAAACACGCATAAAATAAGATTTGCTAAAAATAAAATTGGCACAAAACTATCACTAATAAATAAGTAATAAAATGACAATTTCAGGACTCAGAGACAGTCACAAAAATGTTAGCTACTATCTATTTGTGAAACTTTAATAAAATATTAGAATCTATGGAAAAGCAGAAACTTTCCTATAGATATGAAAACTGAACTTTCAGAAGTGAAACAAAGAAGCTTATCAACTCCATACTGTGAGTTGATAATGCGGTTAGATAGAAAGCCACCTCTGATTGGACAAACTAGATCTTTGCCATAGCAGATGTTGAAAATATATATAAAAATATATGTGCATAAAATTATAAGCCTATGGTAATAAACATCACTATAAAATTATGTATAACAAACCATACAAAACCCCCCATATCAAGGTTCCAGTGAATGACATTAAGATCATTTCTTGTTGTAGAGCTAATATTATCTCCATGGTTTCATTCCTAAGAAACAACCTTTGTCTATTTTACTTAAAAAACATCTTTCATAACACTATATACAACAGGTGCTTGCTCTGGTTCTCCCAATGTTAATCCAATACAGCAAGGACAGCTAAGTTCTGAATGTCAGGGGACATTAAACTGAACTAAAATAGCAACCACTCTTCTTCCCCTGTTCATTGTAATGTCCCTGCTGAAGGGAAATGAATGCATCTACTTGCTTGGTCCTTTGGAATGCAGCTTTTAATTGATATAAACCCTTGACCCCATTAACAAGAATCTGAGCAAAACACGATGAAGCTATTACATTAAAAAATGGCACTTACAAAAATAAAATTATTTTAAATCAAGGCTGATAAAGATATGAAGTTAATAATGTAATAACCAGTACATTCAAGAAGAGTACTAGCTGGAATAAACAGGAGCTATTCCATTGCTTGCCTCGTCTTTGTTATTAAGTATGTGTGGTATATACCTGCCCTAACAATAACCACATTTTATTGGAACAACAGTTTTTGCCTTTAAACTTTGAAATCTTGTTTACTTGGAAACTATTCTTGCCTCAATTCAACCAAAGGAGTTTTTATTCATGTTTGTTGTCATATTGGGTCAAGATTTGTGCCAAGCTGGAAAACCATAGGCAAATATACAGTTCCTGCCCGTACAATTACTTATTAACTGGCTCTAGACCACTTTGAAAAGTAGAATGGAAATATGAAAAAGGTATGGATTAGTTTTGTCTTAAGGAGCAGATAAATTTGGGAAGACTTTAAATAAATTAACTCTTGTGCAGGACCTTGAAAATAGGTCCTGAGCCAGGCGTGGTGACACACACCTTTAATCGCAGCACTTGGGAGGCAAACAGACCTGAGTTCAAGGCCAGCATGGTCTACATAGTGAGTTCCAGGCCAGCTGGAGCTACAGGGAGACCCTATCTCAAAAAGACTACCCCCGCAAGAAAGAAAATAGGTCCTATTTCTTATCACATTGTTCTATCATGAGTAATTAAAAAAAAGATTTATTTTTATTCTTACATATGTGTGGTATGTCCTATGTGAGTATATACCACATGTGCTTGTGTGCCCTCAGTTGGCATTACAGGCTGTTGTGAGCTGCCTGATTCTGGCACTGAATTCAAGTCCTCTGAAAGTAGCAAACACTCTTAGTTGATGAGCCACCTCTTCAGCCCCTTGTTAGAACTGTTATGAAAGGATATCTTCTGCCCTTTTCACTAATTAGCTCAATGATACTTAGTTCAAGCTTTATCATTACCAACAACTCCATTCTCTAAAATTTCAATTTAGGCATCTTATTGTCTGATTTCCACTAACTCAATTTCCAACTACTCCATTTCCTGTACTGATTTCATCAATTTTTTTGAGTCTAGTAGAACCTCTACTGACTGTAGCCCCTATTAAGCACTGTCCATCACTACCCCCTTTACCTGGCTTAGACTACATGGTCCATCAGTATAAATACACCTCTGTATATGCTTTCAGATTCCTTTTCCTTCTCTCCTTTCCCACTGTTATATTGCCTGGGAAATTCCAATCCTTATTAAATCCAATTTCCTGCTAGGCAAAGCACTAGTAGTAATACTTTAAAAAATATTTTATTTATTATTTTTATTTTATGAGTGTATTGCCTGCATGTATGTGAGTGCACCCGTGTCATGCAATGCCCTGGAGGTCAGAAGAGGGCTTTGGATTCCTCTGGAACTGGAGTTAAAGACAGTTCATAGCCTCCATGAGGGTGCTGGGAATTGATCCCAGGTCCTCTGCAAGAGCAGTCAGTGTTCTTAACCACTAAGCCATCTCTCTAGCCCCTAGTAATAATACTTTTGAAGAACAGAGTTTTCTGAATTCCCAAATAATTTCTGACACCAAACTCCAGAGGAAACATTTATAAATCATTGAGTATGCTAGGCATGGTGGTGCATGCCTTTAGTCCCAGCACTCCAGGAGCAGGCAGATCTCTGTGTGGACATAACAAGTGCCAGGTCAGCTGGGGCTACAGGGAGACCCTGCCTCAAAAAGGCTAAACAACAACAACAACAACAACAACAACAAATAAATCATTGAGTAGACGTCTAAAACATCAGGCTCCACAAACCCTCACAGTTCTGGATCTGTGGACAATTGCTGAGTAGTCACTGAATTCTCAATGTCACAACCCTCTTTTCCACAAATTGTAGAGCTCTTGAAGGGAGAAATATCATATGCCTTTTTATGCTGACTATACTACCTGGTATAAAGGAGATATTCAATAAATGTTGGTTAAATGCTGAATTAAATGCAAAAGGAGAAAACAATAAAATCTGTTTTCCTGCACTATGCTCTTGCACTATGCGGATGAGTGCTGAATCATTTCATAGCTGCAGGAAGTCACCACATCTGCCCTATAAGGACAATGCCTGCCGTGCCCTACTTACAGGCCTTCCATGGCACCACCCCAATTCCAATTCATTCCTCACTTACCAGGGCATATTTTTCTGAAATAGAGACCGTATCCCTTCTTTGAGGGCTCCCCCTTCTGCCCACAGAGAATCTCTGGAATTCCCTAGCCAGCTATGCAATCTGGGCAGCCTCTTCTGCCATGGGGTGCTCCCTACTGTTCCCCTTCCTTCACATTCACATTCTGCTTTTGCTCATGTCTGTGCTCCCTACCTGCAAACACCTCTTCTCTCCACACTCACCTGTATAAACCCAATTTATCTTCCAAGGCCTTCCCTGGTAACCCAACTCTTAGAAGAACTAAAATGCTTCTCCACAATATTCTAAATTGTGTTCAATAGATCTCATTTTTTCTATTTTGTTGTATGACTAGGTCACACTTCTGGATTCTCTGATGGAATGTAGGTTCAATGTAAATGAGAGGGTTCATTTATTTATCTTTTTTCTTCAGTTGGTTACACAGTGGGTTTGAAAGAACATTTAGAAAGGGCATAATCAAAGTACAAATAAACAAAAGCTTACATTTCCTTCTGAATCCCCTACTAAATACTGGGCTCAAGTTCAATCTTTCTTGTTCCCAGAAGCCACCTCAACTGTTTTAGATTATACTACAGTGGCATAATGAAAACAGGCTATCTTTTACTGTCAATAAGACACAGTTCAGCAATTAAATGATCTCTATCAGTGTTAGTACAGCCCACCCAAAGAGATGACAAGAGTAACTGAATTGCAGGCAGGCTCTTATAATTTTCATATGCTCAACCATAGTATATTTCCACTCCAATACTTGGGGCAATGTTTATCCATAGTAGATTCTGGTAAATATTCTACATGAGGAGTTAGCAAATTTGGGTATGAAAGGACATGGTATTTCAAGCCTGAGACACCTGGGAAGTCATGACATCTCTACTGAGCTACTCAATTCTATTGCTGTAGTGCAAAAGCAGCAACAGACGGTATATAAACAAGTGAGCAAAGATACGTTCTAATAAAGCTATTTATGGGATATGAAATGTGAACCTCACGCAGTTTTCTACACCATGAAGTCCTTCTATAGAAATGTTTCTCCAACCATCTGAAAACATAAAAACCATAGCAGACAGCACGAAACGAGCTATAGGCCAGATCTGACATGCAGGCTGCAGTTTGCCAGCTATTGCTTTAGATGTCTCGTCTACATTGCAAGATAATTCTGTCGCCAAATTCCCAAGTAAAGCATTGACACGCTATCCAATTACCTTCGCTCAGCACGCTCTTTCTTCTTTAAGGCAACATCCAAATCTTGCAACTGTTCTTCTAATTTTTCACATAGTAGCTTCTGAAGGAGCAATATATATGTGTCATTTTTAATACCTGTGCACAACTATGTATCACATGCATATTCAGCTGACAGGTGTTAAGCTATATGAGCTGAAAGAGCTACGTGGTGAATGAATATCGAAGCTTGCTTTGTGTTTAGAGAGGTGCTTTAGAGAGGGCTCAGTGGTTAAGAGCACTGGCTGCTCTTGCAGAGGACCCAGTTTCAGTTCCCAGTACCCACATAGCAGCTAACTGTTCAGAACTCCAGTTCCAGGGGATCCTGATCCTACACCCTCTTCTGGCCTCCATGAGTATTGCATAAAATGGGCATACTCATACACAAAGGCAAAACAGTTATACATATAAAATAAAACTAAGTAAAAAAGAGGTTCTTCAGCACCCAGTAAACAGAAGGTGACCATAGTACTTCTGAAAGCACATTTAAGAAACATACAGCTTTGCAAAAACAAAAAACCACATTCTGTGCCTATTTTGCTTTCAATGTTTAGAACTGCATTTTTGTTCATTACTACAAAAAGAAGGATTATAATCAAAACAAAAAGCTAAAGAAGCTATCAATATACTTAGGAAGATTTTATATTATATATACATATATATTATGAAATATAATGCCATTTTTATAAAAGACAGGAATAATGTATAAAACATTTCAACCTGGATCAAAAAAGTTTGAAAAATATCACTGAGGACAGGTGTAGTAGCCTCAGGAGGTAAAGGCAGGAGGAACTCTGTGAGTTCAAAGCCAGCCTAGTCTACATAGCCAGTTCCAAGCCAGGAGGAAGTTAATTTCTGAAAGTTTAAATGCATACTGCCCATCATTTTAGAAGCAAAAGGAGACTGGATTTATAGAGACAAAGTATCCAACTGGTGTACCAGCACAGAAATAAATTGTTTGTCAGTTTCACAAGAAACTGGATAAAGAAAGCAGAAGAACTCATGCTTCTTCTGATGCTACCAATAGCATCTACACACCAACCAACAAGAAGAGTGTGGAAATGAAAGATCAAAAGGGGGTACAACTACAGAAAGAAACATTTATTTCTTACATATCTGGATTTGGTGCTATTTTTGCTTATTACAAACATGAGGGAAGAAAAACGATGGTTTTACAAAAGCTGGAGGCCTTCTGAAAAGTGCTATCAAAAAAGCAAAAGGCAAACCCAAGATATTAATATAAGTTAGGGCCCTAAACAAAAGGTGACTACTATGAACAAACTGCTTTGAAAGGGAAGATGTTCAGAGGATGTTCAAAGTATTACTAATCTGTTAAATAAAAAAACTGAGGAGTGGAGACAGAGGTGGGTTGGGTCATACATGCTGGCAAGGAGGGCAGAACCATTCTCCATCAGGGATGATCATCAGAGGAGGACGGAGGCAGGCAGTGTGGTATCCACTGTCACAAGAATCACAGAGAAGAATCTGAAATAAACCACATTAATGTCAACTAAATTGCATTCAATGACTTTTGTTTCATTAAGATAATGACATTTCTTCTTTCTCTTTTGAGACAGTATCTTACTACATTGCATTGGTTAGCCTGGTAATTGCACATAGCCCAGGATGGTCTCAAATTCTCGGCAATACTGTTTCAGCATCCAGAGTGCTGGGACATATGTCATCATGCCTGGCCAAGAAAATGACATTTTAATAATTCTGAGTACTATGAAAGTGTACTTTATTGGCATAAAGCCAATGAATAAAAAAGCCATCATAAGTAGCCAGGCGTGGTGATGAATAAAAAAAGTTATCATAAGTAGCTGGGCGTGGTGGCCAGCACTCTGGAGGCAGAGGCAGGCAGATCTCTGTGAGTTCAAGGCCAGCCTGATTTACATAGTGAGTTCCAGGACAGCTGGGGCTACAGGGAGACCCTGTCTCAAAAAGACCAAAAAAAAAAAAAAAAAAAAAGGGGGCGGGAAGCGTGATCATTAAATTCTTTAAAACAAAGTTTTAAAATTGAAGTATCATAAAGTATGCTAGCACACACAGATTTATAAAGTTAAAAAAAATTCCATTTAGGCCAGGCATGGTGGCTCACACCTTTAGTCCCAGCACTCGTGAGGCAGAGACAGGCACATCTCTATGAGTTCAAGACCAGCCTGGTCTACATAATGAGTTCCAGGCCAGCTGGGGCTACAGGGAGACCCTGTCTCAAAAGACCCCCCCAAAAAATCCATTTTAAGTGCATTTTAATTACCTATGTGTCAGAAACTCGGTTACTTTTATTTTGTAAATTCAAATAAGAAAGAGATAAAGGTAATAAAGGGCAGAACTATAGTCAGAACCATCCAAACATCAAGATTAGTATCAACTAGTTTTTTCTGTTTGTTTGTGTTTGATTGTTTTGTCTCTTTTTGAGATAGGGTCTCCCTGTAGCCCCAATTGGCCATGAACTCACAGAGATCCTCCTGCCTCTGCCTCCTGAGTGCTGGCACTAGAGGTATGGGCCACCATGCTCAGCATGAACTAGTTTTAGAGCTGATATTTTACTGCAGTGAATTTAAAGTGACCATTGTGCTAAAATGTACTATACTATATTAATTATTTAACTAAAAAAAAAACCTGTTTTATAACACTTTATATTTCTAGATGAGTTACAAAGATATTATAGTATCCCCATATGTCCTTCATTCAACTTTCAATAAGGCAAGAAATTTCCTTGGTTTAGAGACAGAGTCTTGTTATATTACATAGACTGGCCTCAAAGTTTTAATCTTCCTGCCTCAGCCTCCCATGAATCCAGCTACAAGGTTAAAACCTCTAAAACTAAAACTTTAGCATCAACACAATACCAGATCTCATAAATTTCCCCTCTACTAATGCCGTATCCAGGATGGTATACTATTTGGTGACATCATCCCTAATTCTCGTCTGGTATTGTTGTTCAGCACTTGTTTTCCATGACTTTGACAGTTTGCAGAGTACTATGAGCCCAGTATTTTAGAGATGACCCTTGAATTTGAGGTGTTTGATGTTTCCTCATGATACACTGAGGTCACAAGTTAGAGAAGTAGGCTGCAGAGGCAGACTGCTCACTCCTGCTATTGTATTGAGGGATACATGATATCAACATGGCTATTACTAGTGAAACTAACCTTTATCATCTGGAGTAACATGCTTATTTTCTACTAGGAAGCCACACTGTTTATTCTCTATACTTCTGCTCTCAAGATAAATCTAGCTGGACCTGGTGGCTAATGCCTGTAATCCCATCTACGAAGGAAGTGGAGGCAGGAAGATCAAATTTTTAGGCGACTTTGGGAAACATAGCGAGACCCTTCTCAAAATGAAATTAAAGTGTTGGGAAAGTAATCCCATGGTAGATACTTGACTAGCATGCATTCATATCCCCAGTACCTAATGAACAAACAAATCCAGCTTATATTCAAGGAGAGAGGGAACTAAGTTTTCTGGGGTTAGGGGTATCAAGGAATTTGAGGATATAAATTAAAACTATCATAATAATCAATATATTAATAAATGTTTTAGAGTACTATATAATAAAGCTATGCAAATACCCTGTTCTCCCTTTAAAGTTTTTCCCACTAGCAGTCATCAAGAACTTTACTTATAACAACTATTACTGTGGTATTCTGCTTGTGATTTTTCTATTTCCCCTCAAGCAGCCTCCGTTACTTGGAATTCTTCTATAAAGAAAATATGTCCCTTTCCTCTACCTATTGTTTACTCAGTAATTTCCAACTAGTGAATATTCTTCTTGGAGCTATAATTCAAAATTATTATTTAATCTTCATTGGAACTGTTTCAGCCATGGGCACTCTGCTCTTTCCCATTGGTTTCTGTGTCCTTAGGACCTGCATGCATTAGATTTTTTGGTTTTTGAAGCACTTTCTTCCTTTCTGGACTTACAGGATGATCTAGACACATTTTTACTTTCCCTGACCGAGACATAGAATTTTTAATAAATGAAACAGTAAGAGGCTCTGGTTCCTTTACTACAGATGAATTTAAAAACCAAGGTCTGAGTTTGCAGAGCAACTGGATATCACTAAAGTTAATTAAATCCTCTCAGAGGGCAAAGCAAATTAATTAGTTAATAGTATATACACATACATCTGCACTTCTACTTGTATACAGTGTGCGTTCACTGTAATCCCCCCAACTCTTATTCAGCATCATAGGATTCATTCTACCATTGGTCTTGCTAATAGAAAGGGCCATGGCTCCCACCATCAACAATCTATTTGTTCAACTCTGGCAAGTAAATAAACAAAAACCCTACAGATGCTGTGGAGTGCAGTTCTCCTTGATGCTGCTTCCTCACTCCATCTTATTTATTTCTACACATTTGTTTTGTCACTAAAAGCTATTGTAAGCTGGGCATGGTGGCACATGCCTTTAATCCTAGCACTCGGGAGGCAGAGGCAGGCAGATCTCAGCCGGCATTGGGAAGGAGGTTTTAAAAAACGCAAATTAACTCTTTGGTATCTATGTGTAAAAAAAAAAAAAAAAAAAAAAAAAAAAAAAAAAAAAATTCAACAAACGAGAAACAAACACCAGCATGCCTGTATTCTTTTAGTTTAAAGAAACATTAGGAAATGGTAAAGAGAAAATCCCTTCCCTGATTTAAGAAAAGACTGCTGCCTCAAACATTCTCTACATAGAAACCTTAACTTTCATAGCCTTGACCATTGTGATAGATCTTTTTTGGGGGGGTGGGCAGGGTTATCTCACTGTGGAGCCCTGGCTGGCCTGGAACTTGCTTCCCACATACTGGGATAAAAGGTATGCACCACCACACTGGGTCTGAGATGATTAACCTTAAATGTCAACTCAATGGGGTCTGGAATCACATAGGACACAGCGCTCTGAGCATTGTCTGTGAAGAGTGTTTCCAGAGAAGATTGACTAGGGGGAAACCCACCCTCAGAGTACACAGCATCTTGTGATAAGTAGTCCAGAAAATGCAGTGTGCTTGCCTGCCTTCACTTCACTTCCTGAGAGCGGGCACCTGCTGTTGCCGCCACCAGACTCCAGCTTTACCACTGATTCTCCAGGATCCTCCAGACCTTCAGTGCCAGAGTAGGACTGGTGAGGCATCCAGCTACATGGGCTGAACAGATACTGGTTTCTCAGCCTTTCCAGGATGTAGACAGCCACTGCTGGGTCACTCAGGCCCTATTGTGAGCCAATCTAAAAAGTCCCATTTTATAGGAGGTGCACATTCTGTTAGCCATTCCTCCAGAGAACTTGAATGCATTAATCTCAACATAATTTCCCTATCTCTTCTTCTCAGACCTTAGCATAATTCTCTGATCCCAACCTGGGTCTCACTTGAATCCTCAGAAACTATGAGGATATATTAAACTTTATGGATTAATTTAGTTTCTAGAAATGATTTTAGTCATAAAACAGGAAAGCACAAGTAAACCAGAATCAATCTTAACCTAGAAACATGTGGTATTAGTCTCTAGATATAGAGAAGACAAGACAGCACCTGACCAGTATGGGCAGAGGCTTTAACTCCCATGTCTCTCTGGCTCCATGCTTTTCCATCACATCACTTTACATTCTTGAGAAAAAAAGCCTGGAGAAGCACTTTTTTATGAGTGTTTTAAACTTTACAGGCTCCCCAAATGCTTTGCTCTACACATTTGACACACACAGAACCATTCTTTACTCTTCTTCCTACTTAATGGGAGGTTGCTTTTAAAGTCAAATCTATTCAAAAGAATAGCAAAGTTGCACGAAATTGGACACAACACATGCTTCTTCAACAGACTATATATCACATGTATGGATTAGAAATTTGCTCTCCTGGTGCTGATCATCTTTAAAGAGCTTTTTTTCTTTTTAAAAAATACTTTATTGGGCTGGAGAGATGGCTCACCGGTTAAGAACACTGGTTGTTCTTGCAGAAAACCTGAGTTCAAACCCCAGTACCCACATGGCAGCTAACAACTGTCCGTAACTCCAGTCCCAGGGGATCCGACAGCCCCTTCTGACCTCTGCAGGCACTGCATGACATGGGTGCACTTAACTACATTCAGGCAGTATACACATACACATAAAATAAAAATAATAGAGTTTTTTAAAATTTTATTTTGTTATTTTTATTTTATGTGTATGTGTATACTGCCTGCATGTATATAAGTGAACCCGTCCCCTGGAACTGAAATTATGGATGGTTGTTAGCCACCATGTAGGTGCTGGGAATCAAACTCAGGTCCTCTGCAAGAGCAGCTAGCAGCAGCCAGTGCTCTTAACTGCTGAGCCATCTCTCCAGTCCAGAGCTTCTTTTCTTTTCATTCCTTTTTGTCTGTTTTTGAGACAAGGTCTCATTGTATAACCAAGGCTGGTCTCAAACTAGCAGTGTAGCTCAGGCTGATCTTAAATCCATGATACTCCTGCCTCAGCATGAACAGTGCTATGACTGCAGGTTTAGGCCACCACACCCAGTTAAGAGCTTCTTCGGTGATTACAGAAGCTCCATATGAATCTGGCACTATCCTTCTGAACATATATGAACATATAACATATAAGCATATAGTCTATAATTTACTTTCTTAAAGAGAATTTTATAACAACTCAATTAAAAAACTTGAAAATCCTACTAGGATACTATGAATTTACATCTTTACAGGAAGGCAATAATGCCTTCAGATCTAACTTACATACAGCTAGCTAAGTTAGCTAGCTAGCTTTACACTTCTTAAGTAAGTCCACTGAAATGTGAGAAGAAATCAAAACTATATCCCCATTAGTTGAGAAAATATCAAATATAAGCCACATAAAATGGACGATCCTGATCATTGGTGTACCTCAAGTTGCTTGTATTTGGGAAGTAAAAATAAACGTCGATTGTAAAACACAAGCTCTGTATCATTAAAACCTTCAAATCATTAAGGAAAAAAAAGGGGAGGGGTGCAATGTGGTGGTACATGCCTTTAATCCCAGCACCTGGGAAGCAGAAGCAGGTGAATTTCTGAGTTCCAGGCCAGTCAGGCCCACCTCTCCCCTGAAGGGGAGGGGAGGGGAGGGTTAGGGTTAGGGTTAGACGAGATGAGACAGGACTTTTCAAGCCATGATCAAACCCACAAGCCTTAGGCTGCTCCAGATGACCAGAGCACAGACACCAGATGAACACCGCTGTCTTAAGAGCAGGTACGTACTAGCTCAGGATGGTTTGGAAGGCCACATTTTTTGCATGGTTCATCATCATCTGGTAGGACAGCTTCTTCACTTTCCTTCCCTTCTTCTTCTTCTGAAGCTACAGAAGATTTTTCACTGTCCGACCCTTCACTTTCATCGTTGCTGGAATATTTCCACCTGCCACGTGTTCGAGAACCAGTCCACCGAACTTTGCCTTTGGGTTTTACCTTGTATAAATTAAAAGATGGAATAATTGGACATAAGATTTTTTTTTCCAAATGTCTCCTAATTTCATGTCCCTTGTAGAAATACTTAGCTGATATAGAAAAGAAAAGATGAAAATTGTTAATAGTCTTGTCACCAAGTATATCTACTACTGAATTTTGGTATATATTTTCATTACTTTTTTCTGCATTTGGGGGTTTTTTAAAATGGGATTTAAATGACCATTATGTCTTATAAACATGTCAAAAATGGCTGTATTGGTCTTATCCCCACATTTGGATGGTTGTTTCCCATTTTTTCACTTTCACATTGTGCCCTCATAGATATTCATGTTGACATCCATCTTTGTGGTTAGGATAAATTCCTTGAACAGGACTCTGGGTCAAAGGCCATGAACACTGAAAGGCTCTATCAAGAGCAGGAAGATAAACTCATACACTTCATTTTCAAAAATTTAAGGCCTAAATTAGAGACAAATCTAAAAAATTTAAAGCAGGTCAGAGCTGCATATAAAAGTCCTAATAAACTTAAAAATAGGCATTATCCAGAGAATAAGTTGAAATGTTACAACATTTTATCACCTGGCATCAGTCTTTTAACTTCTATTTAATTTCATTACTATGCTACAGGCCTCTAGAAAGAACAAAATAATGCCAACAGAAGAGTTTTTCAAAAGAATTAAAAATTTCATACTTCAACGAACAAAGGATGGCTTACAGTAAATAATAAACTGACCACTTAAATGAAAAACAAAAGTAGTATCTTTAATCACAAACTCCCATAGACTAACTAAAGACTTTTAAATGATTTTGCTTAAAATTAAAAGGGTCATAGAAAAGAGAATTCTGATTTCTAAAACGAATGATTAAATGGGGGAATGGATATTCTCACACACCGGTAATGAGGTGTGGCACATTAAAAGGGCCTTTTGGGGGGGCAATGAGGCAGGAACTATCAAATTTTGTAATACACATGCCCCTTGACCCAGCAATTCCAATTCTAGGAGTCTATTCTAAAGAAATACTCACTTATGTCCAAAAGGATCTTCAATGCAGCATTGCCTGTAATAGTGAAAAATGGGAAACAACCTAAATGTCAATTAATAAGGGAGTGGTTAAATAAACTGAGGCATATCCACACTATGAAATACTATGTGGCCATTAATAAATATAAAGTAGATTGTATCTCTTGACAGGGAAAAATAGAGACACATTATTGTTAGGTAAAAAACTCACAGAAAAACAAACAGTTGTGATCCAATTTATTTTTTTAATTTTGTAAATAAAATGCATATAAATATATATGTGAATACATGGAAAAAGGATTGAAGCAATATATACCACTAACTATTAACAGTGGATATAGGGAAATTTCATTTCATCAACCTACAGTTCTTTATTACTTGGACAGCTTATAGAATGTCTTCCTAATATTGCTTATGATAGAAAAAGAAGTTTACAAGATTATATGGTCTAAAATTTCGTCTGTGGGTGTAACTACTGAAAAAGGAGAGTGGAAGAAAGATGCATTCATTTTTCAAGTTGTCTCTGAATGGCTATTTTAACAAAAGCTACAAACACTTAAATCCAAGTTACTTTCCTAATTAAAATCAAGAACTACAGGATGAGGAGATGGCTCAATTGGTAAAACATCTGCCATGCCCCAGAATCCAAATTAAGAAGCCAAGCATGGAGGCATGCACCTGCAATCCTGGGAGCACCGGGGTATGTGGAGGGGGCGGACCACTGGAGCTCACTGGCCAGTCAGCGTAGCCAAACCTATGAGCTTCAGACTCAGCAAGAGATCCTGTCTTACAAAACAGTGGAGAGTGATGGAGAAAGATAACCCCCTCGTGTCTCCACATGCACACACATGCACGTACCCACATCAACAT